CGGCTTAACTTTTTCACTAAGTCCCACCTGTCAGGGTGCTTTGCTATCCTTCCAATAAGCTCTGTGCTTGCTTTAACTCTTAACTCCTGGTCCAGCGTCTTCAATCATCAACTATGCCAGGACTTGAACTCTGGAACAACTCTCCAGGATCAACAAGATGGAAGTCTGTACATATTTAGGACATATTTTTTCCCAAAAAACTTCTGACCTGCAGTTGACTAAATTCATAAATATGCCACCTATGGATGCAAAACTCAAGGACAGGGAGGTCAACTGTAGTTCCTCAAGGTGGGGACCTTCTGTGCAATGCAGGGGATCATCACTGCCTCCCAGTTCTTTCTTTTATAACCCAAAATGGGAGGGGTGGTTGAGGAGTATCACCCTCCTGGTGAGCAGTCCCCTCATGGCCTCATTTCCTTTCTGCACAAAACATTTTTGTTTTATACAATGATAACTCATTAAAAAAACTTATTAAAAATGGGTTCACAGAGGTTGGGGGTATAGCTCAGTGATAGAGTACTTGCCTAGCATGCTTGAAGTCCTGGGGTACATCCCCCACAACATACACACATACAGACACACACACACACACACACACACACACACATACAATCAGGATTCAGAGGTCAAAATGTTTTAGAAACACCAGCAAAAAGTGTAACACCTAGAAAAGGCAATCCTTATGCTTTAATCTGATTCATTTTGGGGTGAGGTGGTACTGGGATTTGAACTCAGGGCCTTGTGCTTGCTAGGCAAGTGCTCTACCACTTGAGCCATGCCTCTAGCCCTTTTTGCTTTAGCTATTTTTTGAGTAGGGTCTTGCATTTATGCCCGGACCTTGATCCTCCAACTTAAGCTCCCTGAACAGCTGGGATAACAGGTGTACACCACCACGCCCAGCTTTTATTGACTGAGATGGCATCTCACAAACTTTTTTGACCAGGCTGGCCTTGGACCTCAAATCCTCCTACCTCCACCACTTGAGTGGCTGGGATTACAGGCATGCCACCATACCTGGCTTGTTTTATTTTTTGTTGCCCAGGCTGGCCTCTAATTCCTGCTTCAACCTCCCAAATTCTACTTCTACATCAATGAAGGCTTTAATCTGTGATGGATATGGCATTTGAGCTCTATCCAAGACTCACAGTTTGGCTAGGGCAGGCCAAGGGAAAAAACCATGGAGTTGAAACAAAATGTTCTGCCCTCTCCGAAGTGGATGGAGGCTGGACAGATAAAGATTTGAATCCTACTTGATCACTTAAAATAGCTGTGTGATCCTGGAAAAGTCCCTGCTCCCCTGACCTTCAGCTTCCTAGTAGTCAAATGGAAATGCTGAGTAAACACTTAACCACTCTTCCTTCTCAATGGACAAGTAAGTTCCTAGTCCCACTGGCCCTGCAGGCCTGGCAAAAGTGGAATGTGGGCTGAGTTACCAGGCAACATTGCTTCTAGCACAAGTGACCAGATTGGTAAGGAGTGTCTAGACAGGAAAGGCCATGAATGAACTACAGATTGTCAGTGGACTACCACACCTTGCGGGCTGCCTTGAGAGGACTGGATGTCGTCAGTGGGAATTTCCCTTGCTGGACCTGGAAGCTGTGTCTAGAGGCTGTCAATATTTGGGACATGGAGTTTCTAAATCAGCATTTTCCTGCCAATTGTGGTCTTGTTTCCCTGTACCTGGGCTGTGACCTGGGTGGACCAGAGAACAGCCCTGGATGCCTATGGGGTCTCTGGTGGCTCTCTAAGGCAATGTCTGGGGTCACCCTGCTGGAACTCCTACTAGAGCCACGTACAGTTTATTTATACAGTATTGTTTAGGGAATACTGACAAGAAAGAAGTCTGATATGTTCGGTGTACAGTACATGGGTCTTGTGAGAATGTCAGCTGGAGCCAAAGACCCCCAAGTGGGAGCGCTGCAGAAGACAGTGACACCCACCTCCCCAGTCTGAGAGGCTCCAGTGGAATAACAGACAGAGCAGCTGCTGGCAGTGAATGTAACAAGTACCAGCCCCTTCTCTCCAGCCAGAAAAGCATACCTGCTTTTGGGCTCTTCCCCTCGTTTCTTCCTTGGTGGGGAAAGGCCTGCTTCTGGCTTCCAATCAGAGCAGTCAAACCCTTTTTCCTTCTTCTTTTTCACTTTTTCTCTTTCTTCTCCTTTTTCTCCTTTGGGGGTTCTGGGGGATTCTGAAAACAAAAGGGCAGCATTGTCTCTCCATTCTCCTCCTTCTCAGCAGAACCCCACCTGATTTTGGAGGGGGGAAGAAAAGGCAGGAATGGTCACATGCACTCACTCCCACATACATCTCACATGTGTGCAAATATACATTCTCAAATGGGGAAATCAACACACCATGCACACCCTTATGCAGTCACGTAAGTGTGTACGTGTAGACATGTACTACACATACAAACGCATGAGAACAGAAACACATACGTGGCACAGGTGCATGAAAGCTCACAGGACTTCAAATCTTGTGTTTGTCACACAACACTGGAGTTCCTACACTAAGTACCTGATCCAGAGCCATCTGCCTGAATTAAGTCACTCACAGACATACACTGAGCACCTGATATGAGCCAGGCGCTGGTGAAAAACCGCATCAGCCTTGCCCCCCTCACCCAGCAGCCTCTTCCAGTTTTTGATGAGGACTTTGGCCAAGGACACCACCTCCTTGTCTGAGCAGTGCTTTCGAACCCCATTAACGGCAACGCCAATCCTGGTTGTCTACAAAACAGAAGGTTCCAGGTTGGTCTGAGAATGGACACCAGGACTGACTGGTGTCCTGCCCTGATTCAACCACCACTTCCCCCAACCTAGACCCCTCCAACACTCTTGCCCTGACCCTCAGCCAAGGGAATCACCCCATTCCCACAGCTGTCCTATAACTAAGCCTAACCTGCTACCATGTGTGAGGCCAGTGCCCAACCTCTAGCATCTTTGAGCTCAAGTCTCAACTTAGAGGCACCTCTGGCTACTGTGTTCTTGTGGTATAACTGACATACAATAAACTGCACCCAGTGTTGTGTACAATTTGATGGGTCTGTGCTGGCTCTTTCAAGGTCAGGAGCTTCTGTAAAGTTTGGGGACTATATGGCTACGAACCTCTCCCTGGCCTCTTGGATCCTACAGGCCTGGGGCCTTGGAAATTGGATGGCACCCAAGGAAAGCAAACCGGGTCTTCCCAGACTCAAGGACTCCCGACCAGATGCTACCCCCTCCAGATGCCTTCATGTCTTCGTCAACTATCTACACCTCAAGATGCCCCTCCCCAGGATTCCCCTCAGAAATTCCTCCCTAGACACAGGCTTGCAGCCCCCCAGGGCCTTTCCCCCCTGCATGGACACTGTCTCAGGGGCCCCCACATACACACCTGTAGCAGCTGGATGGACATCTGACAGCTGTTCAGCTTCTTCAGAAGGTGGAGAGCTCCTTCCTGTGGGAGGCCACAAGGTGACCACTGAGGCATGGACTCTGCCCCATACCCCTCTCTGACTTCTGTGCGGGCTTGGGAGGGGGCAGAGAATCCAGACAGACATGCAGTTGAAGCACAGATGCAGGGCAGTTGAGCTAGGGTACAGCCCAACTCCTCATCCTGACTCCCAGCTTTAGCTTCTGCTGTGCCTTCTACAGGCATGCCCGCACCCCCTCCGAACTGAGTTACTTCCCAGCTTACTGTTGTTATGTGTATGTCTGCAGCTCTCCTTCTCTCTCTCCCTCCCTCCCAAGGTGAGGACTGAGGGCTTTTTTTTTTTTTTTGAGATGGGCTCTTGCTATGGTGCCCAGGCTGGCCTCCAGCTCCTGGGCTCAAAAGGTCCTCTGGCCTTAACCTCCTGAATAGCTAGTTAGGACTACAGGTGTGCTCCACTACACCCAGATCTTGTGGGCTTAACAGCTTTATTGAGGTATAATAGACATACAATAAACTGCACACACTGGAATGCATACTTTGATGAGTTCTGACGTACGTATAAACCCATGAAACCATGATAAGAATGCAAGAACTCAGCCATCAACTCCAGAGGTTTCCTCGGGACCCTTTATCATTCATCTCTCCCTCCGTTCTCAACCCCAGGCACTACAGTTGACCACATATTTATTTTAATTTTTTGGGAGATGCCTAGTGCTTGCTACCACTTGAACCACATCCCCTGCCCTTATTTTTCAGATAGGGTCTCATGGTTTTGGACAGGGTCAGCTTCATTTTTTTTCTTGCTGGGGATGGAACTCAGGGGCTTGTGCAGACCAGACAAGCGCTCTAGCTCTGGGTTACAATCTAGCCCCAAGGCCAACCTCAGACTGTAATCATTCTACTTATGGCCTCCCACAGAGCTGGGATTATAGACAGGATCAGCCACACCTGGCTTCTTTTGGTTTGTTTTTTGAGATAGAGTGTCACCTGGCCCTCACTTTCAAGTTTTTCTTCCCTGCTCTCCCCACCAATCTTTGAGACTAAACACTTTCAAGTCTTTCTGTGAACAAATACTTTCATCCCTCTTGGGTCTAGAGAAGTGTTCTCATCTCTAAGACCTTAGGGTTCTACCCAGCGTAAGTGAATGCGTGAATAAATAAAGCAGAGTTGGGAGGGGAAAGAAGAAAGTTCAGATTTGCCAGACCTGAACACCCCCAAGCCCATTCTACTGTTCTCCTTCTTCCCACCCCCTTCCTAGAAGTCAGCCCTATAGCATCTCAGTCTTTTGGCTAATATTAAATATAGTGTCTAAAAGTCAGTCCTATAGCTTCTCGGCCTTCTAGCTGAGATCAAGTGCAGTGTGTAGAAGCCAGCCCTGGCCTCTCGTCCTGTGATCAGTTTCCTAGGGAGTGCCAGCTGACTATGTTCTCCTGTATGCCCCTTGCACGGCTCTAGCTGCCAACCCTGGGGACCTGGACCCTATCCCGTGGCCTGCCCTCTGTCAGTCCTTAGCCTCCCTTAGAACCTGGGTTCAGTGTGGTTTCAGAGGTGTGACCTGGATGTATGAACTTACAGGCATACAACTCCTCATGTCACATAGGGAATTAAGGGCTACTGTGTATTAGGCACTCCTTGAAGTATTTGACCTTCACTGCGTACTCACAACGACCCTAGGAAACAGGGCTTATTTACCGTCCGTATTTTTACAGAATTTTTACTCCAAAGTTCACACTTTGTAAGGAGCTAACTGGGAATCAAACTCAGGCTTCTTCAGGCTCTAACCACTATCTGAACCATGTAGAGGCGGACATACATCTTCCTAGATGTTCACAGTCATGGAATATCAACATGGGTAAGTGTAGTCAGCCAGTTCTCAAGCAGAAAAGTGTGATTTGGAGTGTTTGCCAATTTCTGTGCTGTAAATACTCTTCCCAAGGTCAATTTCAAGCAACCAGCACGCTGTCACTGAACTGAAAGAGATATTTTAAATTATAAGCAGATTTTTTTTGCAGTCCTAATCCTCCGCCTCCTCCTATCCTGTCCCAGACAATTTATTTATTTGCTTTGTAATGGCTGCGTTTTAACAGTTTGCGAAATTCCTGAAAACTCAACAGTGTTGAGCCAGTTCCAACCCACTACTGGGTGGGCAGCCATGAATAACTGGGTCATAGCTGAGAGTAACAACCATGAGCCTAAGTCGAAGCTGGGTTCATAAGGTCAGGTGCCGATGTTGCTGGCTGTGTCTCCCTGGGTGTGCAGCCAGCAGTACCTCTGGCCCAGGTGTGGAGCTGTGCGTATGCAGCCAAACTGTGTCTGTCTTTGTGGGATGATGTCTGCATGTGTAAGTGTGCTGTTTGTTTTGCATGTCTGGGTGTAGCTGGGTTGTATGTGCACATGAGTGTGGCTATCTCTGTGGATCTTTCTGTAACTCTAATGATCAGTGTGTCATGTGGATTATGCCCGTCATATCAGTGTCAGGAGCCGTGCCTCATGAGCAGCGAGGGTCAGAGCTGCTTTTTAGCTGTGGTTGCATGTGTGTGGCTGGGAATCAAACTTAGGCTTCTTCAGGCTCTAACCACTATCTGAACCATGTAGAGGCGGACATAGATCTTCCTAGATGTTCACAGTCATGGAATATCAACATGGGTAAGTCAATGTGTCATCATGTGTTTATGTAGTGTGACTGCTGGTGCTTGGTTGCCTGTTGGGAGCTATTTCATTGGTAGACACTCACAGCATCTGACAAAGTCCTAAGTCACTAGGACTTCAGGATTGGCAATAAACTCCAGGCCTCAGCTGCAACGTGGAGGATCTGTCTTATTACAGGAAGTGTGTCCTCCTGGCCTAACCACCACTGGGCGGGCCCACTTTCACTCCAGAGCAGGCCCCACCTTTCTGGGCCAGAAGCCCAGAGCTCTGTGCCCACCCAGAGGCTGCCAGAGCCCAGGCGCAGACGTGGCCATGGGCTGGCTCTGCAAGGCCCCTTCAGCCAGACTTGCAGCCTTCCTGGAGATGGCTCTGGGCACTTCCAATAGGACCCAACCCCAAGGGACACTACTTCTTCTTCCCATTTCACAGAAGAGGGAAAGAAGGCCCAAAGAAGGAAAGTAAAGTGGCCTGCCTAGGGCCATGAAAAGAGTGAGGAGAGGCCAGAGCAGGGCCTTCCTTCTTGGCCAGAGCGCCATCGGACCCCCTGCTGCCTTTCCCCAAACTTCCTGAGTTTCCCCCACTCCCAGTTCTTCTTCCTCAGAAATCCTTTCCTGGCCCAAACCAGGCACCAGCAAGGGGCTGGACAGGGACAATCTACGTACCTGAAGTAGAATTCAGCTGGGGACACCTGGCTGGGCTCTGATATCTGCAGCTGAGAAAGGGTCCCTGTGACTGAAGGCCCAGCTTTACTGAAGACTTTGGGAAAGCCTAGAACAGGGCAGTGGGGGCTGGGAGCACAGGGGAGAAACCAGCACTCTGCAGCTTCCTTGCACCTTCCTGCCTGTCACCTGGCTGACCTAAAGTCTGTCTCATTCACCACCTCTTACCACACACCTACCTCCTGCCCGCAACCCTGCCCTCTACCTGCAGGACCACCCAGCCCCAGAGGCAGGGACTCTTATCTCCTTAGGATGAAGAAACCGAGGCTCCCGTATTTGTATGGAGGCGATCTCATTACTGTCCAGGGCCCCAGACACCCCATGGTTCAGTGACTCTGGCCTTGGTCACTCTTCCTAGCTCTAAAACCTCTCTTAGGGTCCCAGTCTTTCTCTAGAGCTCTAGAATGAATTGGGAATGCAGGACCTGATGCAGTGTGACTACAGGTGATGGGAGGAAGAGGACCCTGGCTCAGGGCAGGGTGGAGGGGCATGTTCACCCGGGTCCTCTCCTTCTCTTCCCTCCCAGGTGAAACCATGCCTCCAGGATCCATGGCCAAGCTTGCTGTGGCCAGGCTACCCGCAGCGCTCCTGCCTAAGGCAAAGATCACGGGGAAGATCAAACATTAACTTTCCCTCTGACCTGCAAGGCCAGGGACCCTCAGGGAGGGCGCTGGGCACTGGTCCAACCCCATCTCCCCGGCCTGCCGGGTGCCTCCTCCACCCCCGCGGCCCTGGCCTCCAAGGCCACTTCCCCCGCCCCGCACCTGTCTCCTCCCGCCTGTGCCACTCCCGGCGGCCAAGAGAAAAGTGCAAACAGAATCATTCCTTGCACCCAACTGTGAGGTCGCGGTATCCGCGGCCCTTTGCTCTCCTCCAGCAGGTTCACTCCGCAGCGGGCGGAAACGCCGCTCCGCACCCCTTCTCAGCCTAAGTTTCTCTGCTCCTTCTCGGGCCACCCAGAATTTGCCCCTCCAGCCCCCGCCGTTCCCGACGCTCCCTAGCTTGGAGCACGTCGTGAGTCCTGGGAACCCGAAAACTGTTGCCCAGTCAACTCTCTCCGCCCTCTTCCCGGGCCCCGCACCGGCTGCCTAGAGCCGACCCCTGCACGTCCTGAGGGACGTGCACAAGTTGCACTTCCCGGGCCTGCACACGCCCACCCCAGGTGCCCAGTAAGTGTCCCCGGGGAGGGGGTGGCCCAGTACCAGCCGGTCTCCCTCGGGTGCCCTGTCCCGCAGGCGGCACCCATGGGGCACCCGAGCCGCGTGCGCCCAGGGCCCGTGGCTGCCAGCGCCGCGCCTCCGAGGACGGGGGCTGCGGCCCAAACTCTGCAGCCTCACCGTGTTCTTCCTGGTCACCATCTTCTCCAGTTTTTTGGCAATCCTCAGCAGCTCCTCTTCCTGGCCCATGTTGGCCCGCGACGCACGGCGGGTCTCGGGGCGCAGGGCGGCAGCCGGACCTCGGGGCAGCGAGAGCCAAGGCGGAGGGCGCGCAACTCGCGCGGGCCCCAAACACACACGACACACACACGCCTGGCCTGGGCGGGGAGCGGGGCTCCCCGCCCCCGCCCGCCTCCCAACCTGGGGGGGAGGGGTGGCGTGCACTAAATATAGACTTCAAGGACTCGCTGGGGCAAAGATTGCTGGCGCTGGCCCGCCGCGTCCCTGCGGAGGAACGAGGCTGCGAGAGGGAGACCCTCACCTCTGGCCCTCCCAGGGGTGCAGGGGACTGGAGGGAGATTTCGGGAGAAGGATTTTTGGGCGAGCGCGGAGTTCGCCATCCTGGGCCACAAGAGGCAGATTCTGGGTTCCCGCGTCTCTGCATCGTCTCGCTCCGAGCGGGAGGACCCAGCTGGGTGCCTGCGCCCAAGGGGCAACTTGATGCGCTCGAGTCCCATCCGGTGCACACCCAGCTCAGCGCTAACTTAGTGCGCGGGGCCTGTATGCGCGTGGACTGGCTGTTTGGATCAGTACCCCAGGGCCCACGGCTTGCTCGCGTCTAGTTCGTTGCAGGGAGGTTTTGCGTTTGTAACAAGGTCCCAGATGCTGGGGTGCTGCTGGCTCTAGGGCCCAGAGATGGGGCTTGGGAGGTTCTTACCGGCACCCAGCACTTATCAGGTGCGCATGGGTGCCCGTGTTTACTCGGGGTCGGGCCGGTGCCTCCCAGTGGGGTTGGGATTGAAGGGTAATCTTGGGTGAAGGAGAGGGAACAACTGTGCCCACTTTCCCCAGCTGTGTACACACCTGCCTACCTGTGGAAACCCTTCCAGTGTCCTCCAGTAGACCTGGTTCTTTCCTAAATAAGCAAGTTCAGTGGACAGAAAAGTCTTCCTGTGAGGAGGGGAGATGGAAGAGGTCCCAGGGTATGTGGTTGGGGAACTCTGGCTTGGGGTATCCAGTGAACTCTCCAGACTTTCTAAGAGAACCTCAGAGAATCATGTCCCAGTTTAGGTCAGAGACAGCCTGGTGGGAACACTTGTCTTCCAACTGTTGCTGCAATTGGGGTCAAGGTGGGACAAGCTGAGTTTTTTCAGTGGTTCACCATATTCCGATCTCAATATGACCAAGTATGAGTAAGACAGAGCCTCATCTCAGCAAGCTGGGCAAGAGAAACCTTAAACGAACAGGGATATGATCAAGGACTGTATTTATCACAGCTGGGGTGGGTTAGGAAGAGATGGAAGGCACTTTAAAGATAATTTGAGGGGACCTGCAACTGTTGGGGTGTCAGTTCCTCTGAAGGAATGTGAGCTGGAGGAGGGAGTGTTCACATAAGAAGCAGCATTCATTCATCCATCGATATTTATTGTACACGTACTGTGTACCAGGCAGGCAGCTCTAGCCCTGGGCATCCTGAGAGGAACAAAGCTTGAGTATGCAAAACTCAGGGAGGAGAGGTGTTTGGCCTCACAGTGTTGGAGGAACAGAAAAGTTAGGGTGGCCCCAGCACAGAGGTGTAGAGAGAAGGACCAGGGGAGGATGGGTCCTGGACACACAGTTGCTTAGGCTAGACTTTCTTGATGTGAGATTTTTGGAGGCATCTTGGTCAACCCCCTAGGAAGCCCCTCTGGATTGAAGGGACAGCTGCTGACATTTACTTAGGATTGCCCTCTTTGAAAAAAAAAAAAAAAAGCTGGGTGTGGTTGCATGCATGCAAGCAATTCCAGCTATTCAGCAAAGGTTCAGACCCTATATGAAAAACTAAAAGCAAAAAGACTGGGAGGGAAGGTGTGGCAAGTAGGAGGCTCTGTGTTCAATCCCCAGTATTGCAAAATAAATACATAAATAAATAAATCAACCAGGGGCCTGGGATATGGCTCAGGGTAAAATATCTGCCCAGCATGCACAAAAGCCCTGGTATGGTTAAAAAAAAACAACAAAAACAGAACCTGGATCAGTTTTCCTCCAATTTCCACCCTTTCCTCACCTACATCATCAGAGCTCAAAGGACTCCAAGAATACATCAAATCCAACCCTTTCATTGTACACACGGGAAGACTAAACCCTAGAAAGGGTGTGACCCCGCAGGGATGCAGTTCTGGCCTGTATCCCACACTGTTGGTACCCACTGTATCCTCTCTGCCTACCTGTTCACCTTGAGGTTACTTCCATACAATTTTTTTGTGATACTGGGATTTGAACTCAGAGCTTCATGCTTGCAAAGCAGGTGCTCTATCACTTAAGTCACACTTCCAGTCCATTTTGCTTTGGTTATTTTGGAGATGGGGGGGTCTCTCGAACTATTTTCTTGGGCTGGCCTCAAACTGAAATCCTCCCGATCTCAGCCTTGCAAGTATCTCAGCCTCTGAAGTAGTTAGGATTACAGGTGGGAGCCACTGACAGTCATCCTGCATACAATTCTTGACACACAGATGATAAAGCTCATATTTCTATGAGCTTTGGGCAAACAGAATTGATGCTCCAAGAAGGACCAGAGTTGGTGGTAAACACCCCGTTTATCCCGTTTCTTTAACTCTCAATGGAACAACTAAAGGCATGTTCTAAACAATAACATCTCTCAGAGGCTCCCAACAAGATTAAGCCCTTATTGTCCACAGTGGTCACTCCTCACTGACACATCCTCTATTGCTTTTTGTTTGGTTGGTTTTGGTTTTTCAAGTCAGTAGTCCCAGCTGGCCTTGAACTCAAGATCTTCCTATCTAAGCCTCCCAAGTGCTGGGATTACTTGCTCCCTTTCTTGCTGTTGACCTTCCATTTCACTTCTCTACTCCCTCCTTAAGCTTCCTGGGATCACTTCACAAATAAACTACTTGTTCCCAAATCCTTGTCTCCTGGCAGTTAACAGGAACTGGGGCAGAAACCATGTGAAAAGTTCAGAATCCCCTTCCAGCGCTCATTTCTCTGTAACAGTGCTTCTCAGTCTCAGCACCGTTAACAGTTTAGACTAGATAACTACCGTTGTAGGGGGTGACCTGTTGCTTTATAGAGGTGGTCTGAGTGCATTCCCTAAAGGTTCATGTGTAGAAGCTTGGTCCCTGGTGCAGTGATGTTGAGAAGTGCTGAAGCCTTTAATTTTTTTTTTTTTTTTTTTTTTGGTGGGACCTGGGTTTGAACTCAAGGCCTTGCACTTGCAAAGCAGGTGCTCTACCACTTGAGCAACAACCCTAGCCTGTGCTGAAGGCTTTAAGAGGTGGGGTCTAGTGTTAGGTCATGGAGGCACAGCCTTGGGAGGGATTAATGTTGGTATCCCAGAGTGAGTTAGTTCTAGTGAGAGTGGCTTGGTATCTTTATACCATGTTACCCCATGTATTTGGCCCCTGCCATGTGTGGCTGGTCTGCTTTCCATTTTGGGGTCATGCTGTTGCACAACCAGGAAGACTTTGCCAGGAAGCTGGCACCATGCGGTTTGGACTTCCAGCCACTAGAATCTTGAGACAAACAAACCTCTTTGCTTTAAAAGATACTCAGCCTCCAGTATTTTGTTTCAGCAACAAAACAGTCTGTAAGACACTGTGTACTGAAGAGTATTTAGTAGCATCCCTGACTTTTGTCCACTAGATGCCAGCAGCACTCTCTAGTTGGGGACAATAAAAAGTTCTGTTGTGCCCAATGTCCCCTGGTCAAAACTGTAACCACTGTACAACACCAGGCTGTCTCCCTCACCAGAACTAAGGAAAGAAATCCAAGCCCCCAGATTTATTCCCCTTCCTTATTTCTGTTTAGATCACATGAATGAAACCAATGGAATTTACTCCCCAAATCCTTTATTAGAGATGAGTAAAATGACAGGTCTGAGATGAACGAAGGCAGACATGGGAGGTGGGGGGCTCAGGAGCCAGTCCTGTTTCTGTGGGACCTCAGAGAACCAGGCCTCTAGGGTGAACAGCTCAGCTCCTGGCCAGACCATGCACTGGCATCCAGTGTCTTCTGGTCTCCCCTGCTTGGCCAGGCCCATTCCTCCAGGGCCCAGCGACCCTCACTGTAAACATGAGAGGCTGGTGGTTGGTGATGCCTCTGGAGCATCTGCTTTGTAAATGGGACGGAGCAGTGGTGGGGTTTCCGGCCCTGGGAAGCAACACCTTCAAGTCTCTGCCCTACCACTCTCCTGTCTCAGTCCCTCACATCCCCAGATTGAGATGGCCAACAGAAAGAGGCTAGAAGTGGGATCAACCAACACAGACCATGCCTTCCCTCCTGCTAAATCAAGAAGCTAGGCAAATGTGGGTGAGTTATGTTCTACTTCCTGGCTGGGGACGCAGTACAGGTCCAGGAAGGCTGGGCTGTCCCTCAAAAGGAATGGCATTCGGAACATTCACTGACTGGCCAGTATCATAAAGACATTTGCCAACTAGAATGAAAATGGGCCGTAGACAACTGTAATGACTAGAGAGAAAGCAGCTGATTGCATGTCCTGTCCGAGCCCAGACTCAACTCTGGAATCTAGCTTTGTCCATTCTCAAGCTAGTCCTTGTGACCAGCAAGGACCCTTGTCTTATTCATGGCATCCATAGTGCCTAGCACAGGTCTGAACAGAAAGTTGGAACTCAGTAAAGGAACAATACACTAATAAATGGCCCATAAGGCAGTCCCTGGTCTGCCTCGAATGGAGGGGGGCCCTTCCCTTATAGGGAAAAACATAGTCCTGTCTGATGAGGGACTGAGGAGGCTACAGTTGAACCCAATTCAGGAGTTCTCAGATCCAGCTGCAGGGCCACCTGGCCCTGGAGGGAACAGGATACAGGGAAAGAACCACTGTCTTCCCCAACATGGAAAGACCATGTCCTTGGCAGGGGCATGGTCCACTCCAGGAGGAAGGCCAGCCACAGAGGCATGAGACACTAGGGAATAGATGACTCAGCTCTCCTGTTCTGCAGGCTCGAGTCCCAGCTCTGAACATTGGGGTCCACCATGAGCCATACAGGAGTCACCAAGAAGCTAGTCTGGCAAAAGTTGCACAGAACTTGCAGGGAGAACCCCAGTCTTGGAGCCATCTCCTTCCATGATGCTGACCTGGGGAGAGAAGGATGAAACTGACATTTTCTAAATACCTATGACGTACCTGGTGTGTGTCTCATTCAGTCTCATGATGGTCCTATTGTGAGTAGATTAACTTACTCCATTTTCCAGATGAGGAAACCGAGGCTTACAGAAGTGAAGCCACTTGCCCAGGGTTCCCTACTCTACAGTCTGAGCTTTTACTATCATATGTGCCACAAGTGGTGTCACCTCAATGCTGAGTGATGGATCTTGATCTTTAGGGCAGTAGTGAAACCAGGGTGTGGGCAGAGATTTGTGTCTGGTGCTTAATTCTGATAGGCTGATCCGACAAGAAGCTTTTTGGCTTTTGTTTCTTGCTAGCTAGGGAGGGACCCCAGGACCTTGAGTATGCTAGGCAAGTGCTGTACTACGTAGCTCTACATACCTAGCCCTCTGAAAGACTTATGACTCCCCAGAGAGACCAAGAACCTGCTCCTGCAACCCTACCTCCCAGCACAGACAACCAATGGCACCCTGAAGAATTCCCAGGGAGATAACGAACAGAGGAGACCACACTCCTCACAGGCTCTGATCTGTTCCCACCCACAGCGCAACTAAACACATGTAGTTACTGGAGACTGAGTCAACAGGGAGAAGTAGGACTGAGGATGATTCTTGCTGGGTCCCTGTCACACCCTCTATGCCTGCGATCTGGAAGTCCCTATGTACAAGGGGAGAGTGATGTTGATGAAGGCCTAGTACAGAGCCACCTAATCCTGATCTTCTGCAGGGAGGTGGCTCCTTCTCTCAGCGACTGGCCTGGCAGACACAGTTTTGCTCATCCTCTCCTGGGGTGCAGCCACAGCTTGGTCCTGATCCCTCTTCCATCCCTCAAAGCCTAGGCTCTCTTAGCTTTATGCAGCCTTGGGCTGGAGTAGGAAGGGGTACCAGGGCAAGAACTGGCCCAGTGGCAGTCACCTGAGCCCATATGTGCCTCAGCTGTGGGGAAAGGTCTCCCACCCCTCCACGCCTGCTCTTGATGAACTCTGCCCCAGGCACCTGCCACCACCCCTCAAACCACAGTCCTAGAGTTCCTACCGGAATGTTCTTTCTGGACAGAGGCTGCCGGGCAGAGGGATAGTCTTCCAGGTTCCGGCCTCCCCGCCGGTAGGAGCGAGTGCTCTCCGAGCTGGAAGGCAGGAAAAAGCCAATGTCACCCTGGTGCCCTCAGGCCCTCAGAGTGGGGAGAAAGGGCTCAGGTAGAGAACAAGGTTAGGGGCTTAGGAAGAGGGAGGTGAGTTCTCAAAGCCCCTTATCTGGATCCATCATGGGCCCCAGAGGCCTGTAACTGACCCACAGAGGGCTCTGGGGATATCCCCAAGTCCAATTCTCCCAAATCTAGGCAAAAAGGGTTTGCAAGGAAGGGGGAGAGCTGGATCCTGCATTGGAGTTGGGGACGCAGTAAAGATCCCACTGAAAGCCCTTAGAACAAACCTCACAGGTGGGACTAAACTGTTTCTCCTCTCTCCAACTTCCGCAGTCAGGGGCCAGGCTCCTCCCCACTCTCCTGGCCAGACTTGGGAACAGGTGGCTGGAGGGTGAAGAGGTCCAGCCACCTTCCCCATGCTTGTGGCATGGGTTCAAGAGCTGGAATATGGCCCAGATTGAGGCAGGTACTGTTTGGAGGTGAGGAAACAAATGGAGACCCAAGAGAGGGCAGGAGACTTGACCAGGTTGCACAGCTGGGCCCTCACCAACCTGAACCTGACGGGGAGATACACCTCGGCAGGGGTGGTCCCAGATGCCAGGCCAGGTCTAGAGGTGCCTGGGGGCTCCTGAAGGCCTTCTTCAGGGCTGGGCATGGCTTGACTGGGCCCCCCAGGTTCCACTGGGCTTGTAAGGCTGGAAAGGGAGGAGACTGGACTGCCCAGCCTCTCAGAGGCCTCGGGAGGCTCCGAACTCAGGCTGGGGATATCAGACCGATCTAGAACCAGAAGATAAAGCCTGTTTTCATCACTCCCCTGTGAGCACTCTCCTCTGTGCTCAATGTCAAAGCATCTTTGGCCTCTAGGACCTATCATAGTTTTCTTCCACCCCCCCACCCCCACTTCTCTGCCCCTCCAGCATGCTCCTCCAATGGCAGTATGCAGTCATGACAGCTGTGCCACACTGGCTCACATTTCTCCATCTGCCCCCTCCTGTTTATCCCTCCCCTAGGCAGCCCTCCTAACCCACTCTCCCAACTCCAATAGGACCTGACTCTCCCTCCCCTGTCCCCCTCAGAATAAGCCTGTTCCTTTCATCCACAAATAGTTCCTGAGTGCAGGTGATCTCTGAACCCGGTGCTGGAGAGACAGCAGCCAACAGTCAAATCCAAGCCTTATGGTCATAATAACTGAATTCTTGTTTCAGCTGCCAAAGGACCCAAGACACAGTGGATACTCCAAAAACTCTTGTCTTTTTGTTTCAGTGAAGTGCTTAAGAATTTGGAGTAAAACAAATCCCACTTCAGAGGCTTATTAGCCGTGGCATCTTAAGTATGTTACTTAATCTCTCTGTGCCTTCACCTGCAAGAGAGGATGACAACCCTTCCTGATGGGACTGACAGGATGGGGTATGAACTCACTGAAGTACACTGTTAGCTCAGTGCCCAGCATGGTAGGCCCTCAGTCATCATCACAGTGAGCAGTTTTCTGAGCAGTCAACTCTACCTCCACTAGCATGTCCCACACGCCCTGGAACTGTGGTCCTAGAAGAGTTTTTGACCGGCAAGGGTGGGGGGCAGTCTTCACTCTGGCTCTGAGGAGCAGCTGGTCCTAGGCCGGTGATGGGCTCATAGGTCTTGTTGCTGATGTCCAGCCTCCCAGTGGCCCTGCAGGCTTGGGCTGAGGGCTTCAGAGGGCAGCGCTATAGGGTGAGAACAGTCTAGTTTTCCCAGCTTGGCCTGCCCCTCCCCGCACCAGACCAAACCTGGCTCTTTCCTTCTGCCATCTACAGGGGCAAGGGTTGGGCCCCACCTTCTCTTCCTCGTCCTCCTCGCTGTCAGAGCCAGGCTCCATGGAAAGTCCCCACAGGTAGTCTACATGCAGAGGGAAGGCAAGGGTCCCCGCCTGTGCCTGCTCCAACTGCCAAAAACAAAGGCTTACCAGTTCAGAGGGTCAGCAGAGAAGAAGAAAAGATCAAGGGCAGCCTTTACCTTCAGACTCACCAGCTCCTCACACTCCTTGTGCTGCTTCTTCCTGGCAATGTCCAGAGCTGTCTCTCCTGCATCGTTCACTATGGGGGTAAATTCAGGGGTCAGGGTCAAGGAGATATAATAGATTAGAAATTTAGTGGGACCCTGAATCAGAAAGTCTGTTTGAATTCTGCCTCTGTCACTTCCTGGCAGTAAGATCTTGAGCAAGTTATTTAGCCTTTCCTCAGTTTTCTCATTTATAAAATGACTATGATACTTGAAACTATCTGACCAGGTTGTCATGAGGATTAAATTAATTAACAAGTGCAGATCACTTGGCACAGTACCAGGCACATGTTAAATAGCGCCAGCACTATTACAATCACTGTTGTCCAGATTCAGTTAATATTTTACTTTGCTTGCCTTCAGAAGCGTGAGCTTATTTTATTCTTTTAGCAGCTCTACTAGAGCTGTGGCATTATTGCCATTCTATAGATAAAGAAGCTGAGGTTCCAGAAATAAATAATAAATCCCCTAGGTCACAGAGGGGGTCAGATGCAAGCTAGGATTAGAACCCAAGTCTGCCAGCAAAAGTCCACACTTGCTATTGGTGTTCTTCATCTGAGAAGGCAGGAAGTTGCACTCAGGGCAGTCAGAATGGGGTCTGGAGCAGGTGTTTGGGGTGCACCTGTGCTGACCGGAGCTCTCCCTTTCAGCAGCAGCTTGAGGCAATCAGGCTGGGCGTGGAGTGCGGCATAGTGCAGGGCGGTATTCCCATCCACAGCCTTGGCATCCAGGTGTCCACTAGTGTGAGGGATTCAGGGAACAAGGAAGGGGAAGAGACAAGTGAGAGAGCCAAAGTCAGGGGGAAAGAGGGAGAGGAAGGAAGGGAAAAGGAGGGAAGCGGGTGATAGCAGTAGAGGGACAGAGGGCAGGCAAGCTCTCACCCATTCTGGATGATGAAGTCTACCAAGGGTAGGGAGGACTGGTTGGCGACTCTGATAGCCAAGTGCAGAGCGAGCTCTCCAGGTGCCTGAAAACACATCCACACCTGAGATCCCCTCACCCTGTCACCCTGACTCTTTGCTGCCCTAGCACCTCTGGATCCAAAGCTGCCAGAGCCCCAGAGAGAATGGAAGGAACCACGTGCTGGGGAAGAGAAGGAAGGAAGGACCCACTACTCCTTGTTTCCTTCAAGGTTCCTTCGCATCATTGGAAGGACATCTCAAACCTAGTTCTGGTCCTGGCTCCCCTGTGTTCCCACTCCCCAGTTGTAGCCTCCACAGCCTCACACACAGGTCAATCCAAGTACACTGTGCACTAGCAGCCCTCCCAAGATTCCAGACACAGCTCAAAGACAGCCAGCTGCTTCTTTTTGTTCAGTGCTGGGGATCAAACCCAAGGCCTCACACGGTAAGCACACTGCTCTACCACAGAGCCGTACCCCTAACTTGAGACATCCAAATTTTAATGTCCAATTCATGTTCATTGGACCTTTCAATGTCTCTGCTGTCCTTTCTTCCTGCTTACATGGTGTTTATCAGGAAGATAACTGGAACAACCAATACAGTGGCTTTCTTGGCTCTAATTGGATCTACTCTTCCCCATTTCTAAGGCTATTATTAACCCATTTTACAGATGAGGAATAGGACTCAGAGAAATTAGGTAACTGTCCTGGATCACACAGCTAGGAAAAGATGGCCAGGATTCTGGTCCAGGTCTACTTGGCCAAAGTTGTTCTCCTTCCCATTTGTCCCTTTTGTGGGTGAGACCTGAACACACAACAGAGGTGGGGCACAGAGTGATAACTGGCCCTGGAGGAGGCCTGGGGAATCTGAGAGTGCAGGTGAGTTATAGGTGGCCCTGGGAGGGGCTTCTCACCTGCCCATCAGGTCCCCGCAGCAACTGTCCAAAGTCCTGCCCACTGGCAAAGGCCTCCAGTACGGACAAAAGGTCCCTACTGCAGATGGCTGTCCAGAGTCTGTGGGGCTCAGGCGTGGACCGACGGGCAAACCTGCGTTCCACATACTTGACTACAATGTAGCTCCTGCGGGCATTCCTACCAAGACAACCACAGGATCTCAGCGGGGCCATCCACTGCCCAGGACCGGATCCCATGCTCCTCTCCCCACACTTCTGATCCAGGAGCCCTCTGAGTGCCTGCATGCTGGGGAGGCAGAATCTCCTTACATGTCACTCTCAGTTGAGGGCTTTGGACCGCCATGGGAGGGCAGCTGGGCCTCCATGACCTCATTGAATCTCGTGTTTCCGATGTTTAAGGCCAGCTGGGGTCATGGGAAAGAGTGTTTTTTGGGTATAATCAGGTGTTAGGACCCGGCCTATCCAGGCCCCGCCCACCTCCGTAGGCCCGGACCCAAGGAACTGTAGCGGAGCCAGTCGCCCAAGCCCCGCCCCTGGATCACGCCGCACCCCCAGCCCTCCCTCTGGCCCCGCCCAGGCCTCCCCCTCCGCCCTCCCTCACCAGCAACTCGGAGGGGCTGAGCAAGTCCAAGGTAAGGGACTGCATTCGAGAGAAGCGCACGCCCAACTCACGGTGGACGCCCGAGCACTGGATGCAGGTGAGCACACCCAGGTTGGTGCTAAGCCATGTGGGGTCTGTGGGGGAGGAGAAGCACAGCTCGAGCCTGGGGGCGTCAGTTACTCTCCCCTCCAGCCTCTCCTACAGCCCTGCCCCACTACTGACCTGCAGCCCCACAGTCGCAGCAGTGGCCATTCCCGGGCCTGCTCTTCACCTCCGCGATGAGCAGCTTAGTGAGGTCCTGGGGTTCCCCGTCCAGCCCAGCACCAACCCAGGACCCTGGGCCAACGCTGGGCTCCCCGAGGAAGGCGCTGCTCAAGGCCTCATCCTTGCTGTTCTGCAGCACTGACACCCACCTGCGCAGATGGAGCGGGGAGGTGGGGATGGCAGGCTAGGCATGGTCCAGGCTCTCTGCCCCATGCACAGCACAGTGGGCCAAGGGGGCACTCACGCTTCACACTCGTGCTCATCCTCTGCTTGGAAGTGGTATGTCCTGTTGTCTGTCAAAAAAGAAGAGGGCATCAGACCCACAGGTCCTGCAGGGCTTCCCTTGCCCAGGGAGTCCCCACCTAAACTGTTGAGTCCAAGTGCAGCTTTTGTCCCTAAAAGGCCGGGCTCTCCCAAGACAGGGTGACAACAGGACCAATAGCAAAGGTGGCTTCTCAGCAGTTACCTCCCAAGTAGAACTCCAACAGGGCTTCCTTTGTAGGCACCCCTGGTTCAGGGGTCCGCACTCATCCCTCAGCCTCCTATATGGGCTCCCTGCTTCCCACCTCTCTCCCTTCACCCTGCTTGTCCCAGCTCCCAGGCCATTGTGCCTAAGACCTAATCACACTACTCCCTTGCCCCAAGGTCGCCATGGCTCCTTATTGGCAAGGACTGAGGTCCAAACTTAAAAGGTATTCCCAAGCCTTGCCTCCCTCTACTCCTGGATGAACTCTCCACTCTGGTCACACTGGACACCCACCTGCTTCCATGCAAATCCTGCCTCCTGAAACCCTGGCTCCCCACTCCAGGCATTCTTGATGTCCTCTGAGGCTAATCTCAAATGCTTTCCTCCAAGCAGCCCTTCCTGATTCCCCACAGCAGGCAGGCCTTCCACAGAGTATCACTCTTTTCTACTCCCTCTCATCTTTTAGTCCTAGGTCCTCTTGCACACCCCTGCTGGAGAGGACTTCCCGAGGATGAGATTGTCCAAATCTTTCTCAGCCTGCACTAAAACCTAGCACACTTCCCCTAAAACCTGGCACAAAGACTCCACAGGATGAGTGAAAAATCAAAAAGAAAAAAAGGGGTGAATTAGATCAAAGCACATTCTATGCAGGTATGTCAATATCATAATGAAACCCCTTTGTACAATTAATTTATTCTAGCAAATATTTTTTAAAATAGTTTCAAAAGCCATTGAAACCTGCTTTATGCAGTCAGCACATGGCAGTGCTACCTTACAGAGTTCAGTGTGACTGGAGCCAAGTCTCGAGTCCAGAGCCTGCTCTTCGATTCTGGGTGCAACAGGACAGACTCCTGGCTGCAGCCTCCCGGGAGTAGATAGGGCTCTTAAGAGAAGCCCTGGACAGTGTGAGGACAGGGCAGGGGCCACTCACGGGTTACCAGGTCGAAGCACTTTTTCTCTTCGGGGTTTGGCCTTACTTGGCATGTCAGCAGGGTCAGTTTCACTGGTGGCCGGTTTATCTGTGGGAATTTGGGGGAAGAAGAAGGTCGTGTTACTCTCTGAGCCTCTGAATTTTTTTTCTTTTTTTTTTGCAGTACTGAGGCTTGAACTCAGGGCCTTAACCTTAAGCTACTCCATCAGCCCATTTTTTTGTGATAGGGTTTTTTGAGATAGGGTCTCGTGAACTATCTGTCCTGCTGGCTTTGAACTGCAATCCTGATCGCTGCCTCCTGAATAGCTAGGATTACAGGCATGAGCCACAGGCGCCCGGTTGGGTCTCTGAATTCTTGAGGCCTCAGTTTCCCAGTCTATCAAATGGGCATAAAAACCCCATTGCAGTTTACATCACCCCTCCCTAGCACCTCAAGGTTTGGAGTTATGCTGGTCCCATCCTTCCTCCCACAAGAGGTCTCCAGCACCCTGGACCCAGGTCTGGGCCCTGTCATGGAGTGAGGGCTTGTCTGCTCAAAACACCAGGAGAGGACTCACCGTGCTGTGAGAGATAGTCAGAAAGCCATACTTGACTCCGCATTTCCTTTTCTGCCAGACTCTTCGGATCCTAAGGCCCAGAAAGACAGAAAGACAGTGACTCATTGCTCATGCCTAATTCCACTGCATCAGACAAGAGTTCTGGCCCTGCCTCTGTGACCGCTAGCCACATCTCTTCACCTCTTCCCTCCCCAGATCTGACACCCCTCACTCTGGAGTCCCCTGCCAATGGAAGAGACAGTCCTCCCCTCAGGAAGCTCCCAGTGTGATACACCAACAGCCCCCTTTCTGGGAATCCTTAGTATAAAGAGAACAATGTGACTTTGGTCCCCTGAGAGCCTCTAGCCTGCTGGAGGAGACACAGCTTGCAACTTTAGGGGGCTCCTAGATTATGTAGTGTTAGCAAATACATGATCCAAATCTACTTAGCACTTCTGCAAGAGTTACATGTTCATTTAACATAAGCTATTCTCTCATAAAAGCTGATCAGTAAGCACAAACATGAGTGTGTCCCATAAAAACCTCTGCACTTCAAACTTTTTTAAACACCAGACAGCAGAACACAGTCAGTACTTTCATTTCTAGTCATATTCAGTGTGCTGTAGAGGGTAAGGGTGAGGGTATAGTTGGTGCTCAGTAACTCTTAGCTGCTGCTAGTCTTAAAGTTAAGAACAACCAGTAAGCCAAGTGCCGTTGGCTCACCTCTGTAATCCTACCTGCTCAGAAGGCAGGAGGATCATGGTTCAAAACCAGCCATGGTCATATAGTTCCAGAGACCCTATCTTGAAAATACCCAACACTAAAAAGGGCTGATGGAGTGGCTCAAGTGGTAGAGCACCTGCCTAGCAAGTGTGAGGCACTGACTACCTCCAGTACCTTCAAAGAACAACCAGTGACCTTTAGCAGAAGGTCACATGCTCAGGGGTCCTTTGAGATTTTGCACAACCAGAGTGGAAGGACATGGAACCCTCAAGGTCTGCAGAAATGATAAGAACAGTCCCTCGGGCAGCTTCCTCAGCCCTGTCATCTCCCGGCTGTGTCTTTGGGAGTGGCCTGAGTTCTCCAAATTTACTTACCCGTCACTTTTCTTGTACAGGAAGCCCACCTTCTCTGTCCCAAACTGCTTGTTGCCTTGGTGCTGGTGGATGCTGTAACCGCCTCCTGAGTTCTTTCGGCTGGGGTGCTCCTGCCCCTCAGACATGAAAAGGAGACTTCAAGTATCTGGGAGAGAAGAGCCCTGCGCAGTGGGGTGCACTCTGGGAGCCTCCTCAAGGGGCCCATGGGAGCTTCCTTCTCTCCCTCCCCCCACAGTGGTTCGGGGGGGAGCACTTCTTTTGGGGATGACTCAGGGCCTGACCTCTCTGCTCTCCAGCTGCAGCATCCTTCGGAGGTTGTCCCGGAGCTGGGTCAACTTCTGTAGCTCCTCCTCCTGCGTCTGACGCAGCTATGGAACACAGGACAAGACCCCCTGGCCAGCCAGCAGAAGTGCCAGGGCAGAGCCCAGACCCAGAGCAGCAGGGCAGTGCCTCGCTATCCCACCCGCAGTGCCCCCAAAGGATAGGGGGCTTGGAAGCATGCCCAAGGGTGAGGCCACTTACTGTATGGACTGAAGCTGCCAGCTTCTCGATGAAGGGGGACAGACTCTGAGCTGCCTTCCAGCCATCTTGGAAAAAGCTACCAGAGGCAAAAAAGCATCCAGGGATAGATAAAATGAAGGTGAACTCAGAGGTATGGGAGAAGGTCCTCTAAGGCCCATAGATGTATAGCTTGATGGTCAAGAGCAGGCAAGAAGAGGCAATACTCTTTGGGTTCAGATCCCACTTACTAGCTGTTGGTTAAATGGGCCTCAGTTTTCTGTAAAGTGGGGATAATAACTACACCTGCTCACAGGAGGGCTGGGGGACAGACTGAGATCCTATGTGTAAAATTCTTAGCACCTGATCCTGATGGGCACTTGATGACAAGGAGCTGTGAAAATACTGCCAGATGTCCAGAGACTTTGGGGTCTGCTAGGCCACAGAGAGGTGCCTTGTTCTGTTGCCCAGAGTGTAGGTGGTGGGGGTGGGGAGACACCTACTTGTGCTGCGCATGGAAGAACTTGATGAGGCTCTGAAGGAAGTCGGGACCTTGCTTCATCTGACTCTCCCCAGCTTTGAGCAAGTACTGGGGGAAGAGCAGGGCAAGACGTGTGATGTGAGCCGAAAATGGATCCTGGGGACGAGGGCTGAGATCCCCAACCCCGGACTAATCTTCTTGGCCATGGTTGAGACTTGGTGATATTCTATAGTCTATTTGGCTGAGCCTAGTGGGCTGTGACTAGGCCCCTGGGGATTCAGAGAGGTAGACGGGAAGACAAACCTGTGACACCTCTTACCTCACACATGTGCAACTGGAAGACACGCCGTTCCCGCTGAGTGTCCTGGGCTACTTCCCCAGGGATCCCTCCTGTCACCCTGGCTCGATCCCGCTCCTTCTCCAGCCTGCCCCTAGGCCAAAAGAAAAGAGGCCTGAACAACGCTGGCCAACTCTTCTTCTGTCCACCATCCCTGCAAGGGACACACAGGTGTGGGGGATGAAGCCCTTCCCTGTGCCAGCTGGGTGCTGGGGCTCACAATGACAGAGGCCAAGGCAGACAGACTTGGGGAGTTCAGAGGATGTGGGGAAGAAAAGCCATGAATGAAACCACAGCAGAGAGTGACGGGAGACTTAAATGGAGGACCTGGCCTCATTGGGGATCTTTAGAAAATGATGTAATGCAGTTGGGGCCACAGCAATGAGGGGCCTATGCAGATCACGTAAAGCTTCTTGATCTTTTAGCCCAAAGGCAATAGGAAAGGACACCATCCTTCTTTTTTTTTTAAGTGGAGTCAGAAAGTGCTCCCATCCCAGGAGCAGGGCCATCTGGTGCACACTGTTTCTATGTCTTTCAATAATGAAAAAGGAAACATGACCTGATGTTGATCAATAGAAGTGGTTAGACAAATCATGGTTTGTCCATATATGGGAACACCTGTTAAAAATGCTAAAGATTGCTGGGCATGGTGGTTCATGCCTGTAATCCCAGTGGGAGGTGGAGACAGGAAGATCAAGGTCTAAGACCTGTCTGGGCAAAGTGGGAGACTCTAAAACAAACTAAAGGCAAAAACACTGAGGGTTGTGGTTCAAGTGGTAGAGAGCTTGCCTTCCAAGCATAGGGCCCTAGTTCAGTCTCCAGTACCACCAAACAAAAGGGGTGGGGTTCAAGACCTGCATAACCTGACTCAGAAAGGATCTATTTCAGAGAAAGAGGGCAGAAAACAAGGCCCAGCACAGCAGCGTCAGCCATATGGGCTCTGGGTGCAAATGGTAGCTCCTACATCCACTCAACCTTTATAAATCTTCTAAGCTTCAGCTTCTTCATTTTGCAAACAAAACTGTGGCACATAACTAGTCCTTGGACATAATGTGTGGAAAACACTGAGCACAGATCCCCGTAGATCCCAGGTCTTCAATAAATGGCAGGATTATGACATTGCTAACAAGGGTGGTGATGATGTTATACTGGTGATTTTTAAAATTTGTGTGTGTGGGGTGGGGTGTATGTATGTGTGAGAGTGTGTCCCATTGGGGATGGACGAAGCCCAGTGGCTCTCACAAGCTAGATGAGCTCCACTCCCCTTTTACATAGTTTTTCAGCATATGACTCTCTTCCCTCCCTCCTTTTCTTCCTTTCTTCCTTCTTTCCTTCCTCCAATTTCTCTCTCTCTCTCTCTCTCTCTCTCTCATTTTTATACTAGTAGAGATTAAAAGATGGAGCTATGGGCTGGAGGCATGCCTGAAGTGATAGATGGAGCTAAAAGTAGCTCAGGATGAAGATAAGCTGTGAAGTACCTTCCATGGCTTTGTCAATTACCATAACTCTGTCCCTCAGCCTCAACTATGAAAATTCACAGAGATTCACTCTACAAATTCCAACAGTCAGGAAAATGACTTGCTCAAAATTGCAAGTTGGTCCTGAGAGAGGCTAGGGGCAGATGTCAGGCTTCTGCCTCCTGTGCCCTCACTGTTGTTGGGCCCTGGTTCCAGCCTAGAGAGATGAGTGCTTGTTGAACTAAGCTCTATACACACTGCTTATTTCTTTCTACACTGCAAGCCATCACCAGCCCTACTTCACAGACGAGGAAATGCACCTGACATAGACAAGTCAAGATAACCAGGCCCCTGTACAGTGTCCAGACAGTTTTCTCAGCAGCCCCAGGTGGACAGGCACTCCTCCTCCTATCTCACTGGCCAGAGGGAGGTGCTGAACGTGTGGATGCTGCCAGCGCCTTGGGCCCTGTCAGTGGCTGTACAGACTGGCTTGGTGAGAATGTGGTGGAATTACTTAGCACCTACAACTCACTAACATCTGGCTACATGCCTGGTGAAAAGGAACAGACAGTCACCTCTGCCAGCGTATGTCACTCAAATTATGTAGTTATATGGTAGAAGCCAAGGGGCCAGGTAGCCTTGGGTCCTGGCCAAGGCCCTGTCCATAGTTTACTGAATCACCATAGCCAAGCCCTTCTCCCATCATGGAGTCTTCTTTTAGCCACTCCACCAGCCCATCTTTAAATGAAATCTTATAGGAAAGCTCAATACAGAAAGCTAATAAAAGCAGGCCTGCTTGGGGCAGGTCTGTTTCATAATATGAAACATGCATTTGGAAGATGAGGCACTAAGAGGTTAAGGGCTTGGTCAAGGTAACTCAGAAAGGGGAGAGCCACAAGATCACAGCAAATTATAAAGATAAGGATAGTCTGAGTCCCTATCACCTGTCCCTGGACCTCCAAAGAAAGCAGATGGCCACACCCCATCACAGGCAGTAATGTCCCACCAGCAGACATCCATCACAGTATCACACCCACAGCTGTGGTTGGAGGTGGGTAGAAAGAGGAGGTATGGCCTTCCTTCAGATTTGGGGAGGTGCCCATGGCTCTGGGAGCTAACGGAACAATCAAAGCTCCAGAATCTACTTTTTGGAATTGATCCTACAGAAGTTATTAAGGGTAGGAGCAAATATTTAGTTCCAAGGATATCTCCTCAATGAGAAGGATGGATTAAACACTACACATATGCACAATGTTGGCACACTGTGCACCCATGTAATTACCCATGTAACAATGCTGAAAGGTAGCCACAATATATTTTTGTTGTTTGTTTTTTGAGACAGGGTATTTCTAGGTAGCCCAGGATGTACTGGAACTTTTGATCCTCCTGCCTCAGCCTCCTGAGTGCTGGGATTACTAGTATATGCCACTATATCCAGCTTCACGATGAATTTTTGAATGAAAACAGCAGATTACAAAGCAGTATAATCATTTTCATCTCAGTTTTAGGAATATATTTTGTTGTATATAGAAAAATAAATGGAAAAGGATAATATCTTAGGCTTGGAAATTAAGGATTTTTCTATTTTTTGGTAGGTTCTCCTTACCTCGCCTTGTTTTTTAAATGATAAATTACAGTGTTATCCATTTTTTGTGTGTGCCAGTGGCTCACACCTATAATCCCAGATACCTGGGAGGCTGAGATTGGGAGGACTGAGGTTCAAGACCAGCTTGGGCAAAAAAGTTTGCTTTACCCACTCTCAATGGAAAAAAGATGGGCAGAATGGCATGAGCCTGTCATTCTAGTAATTGCGGGAAGCTTAAAATAGGAGGATGGAGTTCCAGGCCAGCCTGGGGAAAAAGCAAAAAGGGCTGGAGGCGTGGCTCAGTGGTAGAGTGCCTGCCTCATAATCGTGAAGCCCTGAGTTCAAACCCCAGTATCACCAAAAAATACTCAAAATACCCACCACACAACCATAATTCCTTCCAAAAATGATTAATATTTTTTCTTCTTTTTTTAGAAGGAGGTACAGGGTCTCTCTCTGTTTCCCAGGCTGGTCTCAACTCCTGGGTTCAAGCAATCCTCCTGCCTTGGCCTCCTGAGTAATTGGGACTACAGGCATGCATCTTTTATTTCTCCGTTTTCCAAATTGCACATAACAAACATGTAGTGTTTTGGTAAAAATTCAAGAGAAAACAACATTTTAGAAAGAAGAATAAACAATGTTCTGAAGTACGGGCCTAACTGGGCCCTGACCAGAATCCTCAGAACCACAGAGCCAAGGAATCTCTGCTGGGGAAGTGCCTGAGGCTCCTTCCGTCCTCTTCACATTCCAGTAGCCTGTGGGAGAGCTGAAGTGTGGTGTGGGGCACACAGGAAACTGGGTAGAACACACCTTCCTTTTTCCTGTGTCTAACTGAATATTTACAGATACATTTACAGATACAGACACTCCTGGAAGGAGGAACCCCTGCTCTGCTGCTGACTAGCTGTGTGGCCCTTGGCCAGTGACATTTGTCTCCGGACCTCCAACACCTCCTCTGGTAATTGGGACACTAACAACTCTGTCACAGGGCTGGCAGCTCCTCTCCACCCCACACATGTGGGCACCCCGGAGCAGAGGGCCACTGAGGACAGCACCCCAAGGTCCGGTCCAACAACAGCTCTTTTCGTGGTGCCTCAGTTCCATCCCCAGAACCCAGCCAGGCCTGTAGGTGGCTCCAGAGAGCCAGATGCTGTGCTCTTCTGTGGGACATGTCCTGGCCACACTTAGCACCTGCTCCTGCGGCAACTCAGGCACTACCCTCCTGGCCAAACCACTGCCCTGCCACTTACACTTTGGCTTCATAGTCCTTCCACGCCTTCTCCAGTTGCTTTCTGGAATCCTGTGGTTTAAAAGAAGAATGATTTGCCCAAAGGGAAGCTTGAACTCTGACATAAACAGAACACTCTGCTGCCTTTGGGGGACCCTGCCTCCCTGCTCCCCCCATGCTGCTCAGAGCTGTTCTCCAACCACCCCCTGCCACCCCACCTCCCCAAACAGAGCAACCGACCCCACTTCCCAGGGCTCTGCCCCTTCTTCCACCCCAACTTCTCTTCCCAGAGCTGCCAAGAGTCAGTTGGGTATGGTGGGCCCTGGCCTGGGGTGCAGGAGGTCTCTGCCCTGGATCTTGTTGCTCAGAAGCTAGAAATGGGGTATGATGATGAGGATGGGAAGATGAAGAACAAACTCCTCCCCTAACTTTATCCCACCATTTTCTCCTGCCTGGTAGGACATCATTCTCTTTCCAGGAAGGGTACACATGCACAGAGAGGTTGAAAAGTCTCCTCATGGCCACACAGCAAGCCAGTGTGACCTGGCCAACCTCTGGCCTGGCTCTTCTGGGCTGGGCCACATCCAGCTGTACTGCTCACACCCTCTGAACAGCCCAGGGAAAAGCCACCTGTCAGGTTTAGGTGGGTCCCAGGCAGTGAGCAGCCCTGGCATGGAGGAAACCCCCTAGGGTTGGGGGGGGCGAGGAGAGTTCTCCCCTGGGCCTTCTGGAGCAGACTGCCCAGGGGAATTAGTTTGTCACCTTCCCTGAGCAGTGCTTTGACCCAGGCACAGGAAGAGCAGGTCCCCACCCTGGCCCTGCCATGGACTAACTATGTAAACCATGTGCAGTTCACCTCTCCCCCTATGCCTACAAGCAAGGGTGAGGCACCTAAGAACCCACCTAATGACACAGGGGTACTCCCATCAGGACCTGGCAAACAATGGGTATCAGAGCCTGCTGTTGGCCTAAGGGCTGCCCCTCACTCGGCCTGGTTCTCGGCCCAGCCCTGCCTTCCCTATGGTCAGCCCTCTCTCACTGTATCCACCAGCTCCCCTACATAGAAACTCACCTGCCGCCCATCTCTCAGTTGCGCCTTCATCAGACTGTCCAGGGGGAAAGAGACAATGTTGTTCAGGTTCTGAACCTGGAAGAAGCAGAGACCCCCACCCCCTCTGTGGGTGACCATCTGTCCAGCCCCAAGGGGCTCAAGGTACAGCAAAGCACCAAGAAGCAAAAGAGAGCCATGGGGTACAGGAAACTGAGACAGAGATGGGAAGGCAGAAAGGGGATCTGAGGATGTTGGAGTCAGCGCCCTCCCCTAACTGCTCCGGCCTCATTGCCTCACTGCTTCAGGAGTATCCCCTAGTCACTGTCACCTCTCTATCCCTGACTTGGCTGACATTACAGGCTTGTGCCACCACACCTGGCTTGCATCTCTCCTAATGGTAAGAGAACCTTTCTTGCGGGGAACTCTTTCCTTGTAGTCAGACAGGAGTCTCATCTGATCCGGGCACCCTATTAGCTTGACTGGCTCAGACACAAACATGCAACCCAAGCCTCCAATCAGGATCCTTCAGGAGGCCATCAGGAAGGAACAGGGACTGCTGGGCCAGTGCAGGGGCAGAAGGGCTTGTGGAGCTGAGGGAAAGTTATTGGATTTGAACACAAGCAAATGCAACTGAGAAAGGAGAGGAAGAGCAACAGAGGTGTGAGGAGAGGTGGTGGTGGTGGGTGTATGAGGGCAGGAACCCCAGAGCCTGTCCTTCCCTCCCCCAAAGCTGCTCCAGAGAACCTGCCTGCCCAAGTGCATGGGGCTATTCCCCCCACCCCCCCCACCGCACCCACAAGACCCCCTCTGCTCTGGGGAAAGAGGAAAGGACAACAGAGAGAGAAAAGAGTTGAGGAAGAAGTCGGGGGGTGGGGTAGAAATGCAAAAAGTGGGTCAGCGCTGGACAGGGACCTCAGATGAGGGATTAGAGGTCAAAGGCAAACCAGAAGAGGTGGATTACCCTGAGCCTGGGCTAAGGGCTGGGCAGGGAAGGAGCTGGGGCCTCACCAGGTTCTTGAAGAGTGCAGCCACCTCACGGGTGAACACAGCCAAGTTCAGGAAGCCTGTGGACAGCTCATGGCTGTTCTGGGACAGGTGGCTGTTGCCCAAGGACTCCACAGCCTCTCGGTACTGCTCCTCATTGTCCACGTGGCCTGCGAAGGTGGAGAAGGAGACTCAAGCTTGGCTCTAGGCAGGCAAGGGGCCCCGGGGCATCAAGAAGGCTCACTCACCTAGGCCAGAGCTGTGGATCACCCGCACAGCCTTCTTGATCCTCTGCAGAATGGCCTGGTCTCCTTCCAGAATCTGGAAGCAAACGTGGGCAGAGGTTCAGCCTGCTAAACTAGGATGATGTCCGACTCCACAATCCCACCCTCCAAACACACAGTCTCGCCATCCTCCAGACTCTTCCCTAGGGGCCTCTCTGTGCCCTCCACCAAACATAAGCAGACCACACTTTTCCTCTGGACCACAGAGAAGCCACAGGGCAAAGATACCTCTCCAGGGAGACCTCTCTTTCACTTTTATCCCAACCCAAGTCATGTAAACACCTCCATTCAAAGCTGTGCAGCCCAGTGGGGTACGCCAGGCCTTGGCTCACTCTGGACCGATATGTTAGCCTGTCTGAGCCTCAAGTGCCTTATCTGCAAAATGTATAAGATGCTTAGAAAAAAGCTAGAGGAGGGAACATCTTTGTATCCCCAAAAGACACAGACAGGGACATTGTGGAGGGAAGGGAAAGGGAAGGACAGGACCCACGCCCCAAGATGGGCTGAGCCCATATGGGAAGCTTCCTTGGACTCCTCCCTTTCTCCTTCAGTGGGCACAGCTCTGGTGACCTCATGAAACCCTTTGAACTGCACAGTTCACTTGCAAAGTGAAGAATGTTAAGAGCTGGAAGAGGCCCACAGAGCCACAGATAAGGAACTGAGGCCAAGTGAGGGGACGGCCTTGCCCAGAGTCACATGGTGGAATAGCAGTAGAGCTGGGCTTCCAGGGCATCTCGGCAGAGTGCCCGTCTACACACCATGGCTCCACACTGACCCCAGTCCCAGCTGTTTTGTTCAGTGGCTGAAATGGGATCAGAGTTTGATTTTAGAAGAGTTCCTTCAAGTCAGGCATGATGGCACATACCTGTAATCCCAGCTACTGGGGAGGCAGAGGCATGAGAATCAAGAGTTGAAGGCCAGCCCTGGCAAAGGTAGTAAGACTGTCTCAAAAACAAGATGCAAACACAAGTACTGGTGATGTGGCTCAAGTAGAGCATTTGCCTAGGAAGCATGACGCCCTAGGCTCAATCTCTAGTACTGCAACACAACAACAAAAAAGAGTTACTTCCTGGCGGTCTCTGGAGGGAGGCGGTGGTGAGGGGAGGTTGGCTTTGAAGCCATGTTGTGTGGCTGTGAGTGGGCTGTCTGTTCTCACTGGGCCTCCTTCTTAGCCATCTGTGCAATGGGGAAACAACACCAACCTCTTGGTCATTACAAGGACTCTGTAAGATGGTTCCATGAGGGCTTGGGTGGGGGTGGACACAAGCTGTGTCCTCAGTGGGAGCACCTAGGAGTGTTATCATTAGTGCCTGCTGCAGCTAGAGAGGCCTGACATCCTTCTGCCTGCATGTGAACTTGAGAGACTTCCAGAACTGGGGCCAGGGAGGCCCATCCCAGGGGAGGAGACACCAAGTCAGGTATTAGGCGGATCAAGGTCAGGGCACCATATGAGCCACCCCTCTGGTCCACTTTGCTCTGGTTATTTTGGAGATGGAGTCTTGAGAACTATTTGCCTAAGGTTAGCCTCTAACCTCAATCCTCCTGATCTCATCCTCCCAAGCAACTAGGATTCTAATTGGCATGAGCCACCAGCACCTGGCTTAAGGGTGCAGTATTTGAGTTGAGCTGGGGATGTGGCTCAGTGGGTTAAGCAAGCACAGGCTTTGGGTTCCATCCCCAGCACAAAAAGTAAATAAGTAAATAACTTAGATGCTTCTTAATGGACAAGAAAGAACATAATTCTCTGGAAGTCCCAAAGACCCAGACAAGGAAATGTGTTTGCCAAATCCCTTGATCTCCACCTTGAATTTGGAAAGTTAGAAGGGGACTAACTTAAGACTCCATGGCTTCGCTGTAAATGAAAGTGCAGGTTGGAGATCTGAACCCACATGCCTCACCTGCAGGAGGTGCTCAGTAGATGCTTACCTAAGTAAACAACAGTTTGCAAAGTGAGTGTCCGCAGCAGGGGAGCTGGGTAGCTATGGGAACTCTGTATTTTTTCTTCTTGATTTTGCTGTGAGCCTAAAACTACTCTAAAAAATAAAGATTTTTTTTTTTAGTTTGCAAGGCAGGAGTTCTATCTTGAAGCCATGTACCCACCTCAATTTTTTTTAGGTTTTTTGTTATTGTTGTTTTGGTTTTTTTTAAGTAAAGAAAAGCAGAAGAATGGAGAGATGGAGAGGTACCCTGTCACCCCTTTCTTCTGACTCAAATGCATTTGGAATGTCTGGAACTCAAGTAGCCATCTTGGACCATGAAGTAGAAGCCATTTGTTGTGGATGGTGGAGCAACAAAATACAAGTTTTTTTCTGGTGATTGAAGACTTCTTTTACATGAAAAAGAAATAAATGTCTATCTTATTTAAGCCACTGTTATATCCACCAGCTATTGTATTACTTGTGGCTAAACCTAGCTCTAACTGGTACAGGCACCCTAGTGACCTGCAAACTGGTCCTTGATGTCCTTGTCAGATATATCAGGAGACGGCTCCCAGCTTGGCACTGTTCCTGTCCCTACTGCTCTTAGCAACCAAGTTCACGCAGCTGTTCATTCATTAAACTAGTTCTGAGTGCCTACTCTGTGTTCACCCTGGGTAAAATAAAAAGACACAAGGTCATTGGTCAGGGGTTGTCACTATCTAAGAAAGAGCCAAGTAACCAGATGCTCAGAGGTCAGTGTGATGAGGGCCATGACGGAAGTTGAGTGAGGCCCCTGGGAGCCCAGGGAAGTAGAGCTATGTTTGCCTGGGAGCAACAGGCCTTCCCTAAGTTTGACTAAGGGCACTGGATGAGCTACTGCAGTATGAGCAGGTGGGGGGACACAGGTGTCAAAAGTGGCCTCCAGGAGGGAAAGGGGCAGTTCATTCATGCACTTACTCATTCCAATGAGCATTTTCTGGGGCTGATTTCAGCCAGGCCTGGTGTCAGACACTGAGGATACCTAAGACATGGCCCCTTCCTTCAGGAGGTCCTCAAACATAAAGGTACAAGTGCATAATAAAGACAGGAGGAATCTACTTCTTTTTCCAGAAAATTCTGGAAAACCATTCACACTTGGGTACAGGTAAGTGACCCTCAAAGATTTAAGTTAAAGAAAGAGTTTTAAGGGAGAAATTCTGACCGGATCTGGGGAAGGAAAGATTTTTGGGGAGACAGGTTTTCCAGGTTCTGCAGTGATGCTCCCACAGCAGGAGGAATCAGAAGCTGAGATTCTAGCCATGACCCCTCCCACACACACAAAAAAACTATCTCCCTTGGTGATACTGGCCCAGACAGTTTTCCAAAACTCCCTTTCTTTAAAGTGGTTTAAGAATAAAATAATGGGGTGTCCATGCTCTGCTCTCTCACAGAATCCCCGAGAGACTTCTCAGAGACTGGCAAGGCTTCTCAGAGACTGGCAAGGCCGCTGGAAAACAGTAGTACCCTCACTGGCTGGCTTCTTGCCCCTGCAAGAGCAGCTCTCATTCCCCATGCCTGAGACGGGGTAGGCCAGGCCTCTAACCCCCAGACCCATTTATCCCCAACAGACAGTCAGTCAGTGGCTCTCTAAGCAGGTTCTCTGAGCAGCCACCTCAGCATCACCTGAGAACTTGTCAGCCGTGTAGTTTCCAGCTGAATCTGAAAGTCTGGGGCCCCCTGGGTTTTGTAATGCCTGCTGAGCTAGGACATCTCTGGTCTAACTCTGCTGTACAGAGCCACAGTGCATCTTCACTGTGAAAGGGGCGGGGCTGATGCCCAACAGCCTGGGCCGCAATCCCAGTCCCATCAGGCACTTGCTGTGTGACTCCCTACAGTACCTGCCACGTAAGGGTGGTGGGCAGATTAAATGAATTCACAGTGGTAAAGTGCTTAGAAAACTATCTGTTTTTTGAAAGCTAAAAATGCCATCTATTTCAAAACTGAATTTGGGTTAGGAATTGCTCAACCTTTCTTGAACTAATTAGACGCACTCCCCACCTGGCCTTAGTATGCCTCTTCAGTAAGATGTGGGAACCCGAGGCACAGAGGGGCCACAGTGGAACCTCTGTCGCCCGGCAGTCACTGAGTATAGATGTCACAGGCCCCAAGTGCTTGCTCCATGCCAGGCTTGTCATGCACCTGGTCATACTTTTGAGGTGGCATCACCATGCCCATTTTATAGAGGAAACTGCCAGAAGAAGGAAGATGTTCATGTCACACAATAATGAGCAGTGGTGGGTCCTAGCTTAGACACTGGACTAGTGTTCTGTCCGCATGGCGCTGCCCCTAAGGGGTAGAGTGTGGCTTCTTTGATGCTTGGACCAGGTCCACTTCTGAACCTCAATTCCAGCTCCACTCCTCCCATATCCTTTCACTGTCCCCTTGAACTTACAGGAGGGAGAACAGAGGATGACCCATTGAAGAAAATGGGGTTGGAGCAGTGGTGAGCCTCACTCCGAAGACTGGCCTACTAAGAAAACAGGTGTGTTCAGTTGGCACATCTTGGACAGGATTCCAGGACTGACAGGTGGGAGTTAGGGAGACAGACACAGACCAGCTTAAACAGGGGACTGTCCCAAGGAAGAAAAAACTACTACTGAAGGGAGTGAGCACCCTGCCACTTGAACTATTCAAGGACTTCAGGTGCTGAGAGTGACCCAGACATTACAGTCTCAATTAGAATTGATGGCCATCTAGATCCCTTCCTTCCTTCCCTTCCTCCCTCCCTGCCTCCCTCTCTCCTTCCTTCCTTCCTTCTTTGTTTCTTTCCTTCCTTTCTTCCTGCTGGGGATGGAACCAGGGCTTTGCACATGCTAGGCAAGCACTCTGCCACTGAACTACATCCCCAATCCATGATTTCTTTCAATATTCAGAGTCAGTGCTCTTCAAAGCCTGCACAGGCCCTAGGCAAAGATGGGTGAAACACAGTGTGTATGGGACATGTCTGAACTTGGGAAACCCCATGGAGTCCTTCTGACAGCCTAGCTTGGCTGGCCCAAGACAAAGCCTGAATTCCAGCTGCGGCCCTGCCCTGTGTGCTACTCACCCTCACCCCAACAACACACACACACACACACACACACACACACACACACACCCTGGCTCTCCAGTCTGTGCTCTCTGTGGGCAAAACAGCACAGATGGCAGCACTAAACCATGCCCAGCTGTCCTGCCTGAAGGGCCTTCTGCTTGCCCCCCTCCTGGGTCAGGATGCATCAATGGGACCCATTCTTCATTCCTGTGGTTTCTTAGAGCCAGCTGTAGTTGCTATAGCAACTCAGCCAAGGGGGCAGAGCTACTGGTACTAAAGCTGGGATCTGCAGATTAAATTTCACCATGAGATATTCAGTTCTTTGGATCATTACAATGTAGGGCATAGGCACCACTTTTGTATTTCCCATGACCGTTACAGCCATTAAAAATCAATCACGGGCTGGTGGAGTGGCTCCTGCCTAGCAAATGTGAGGTCCTGAGTTCAAACCCCAGCTGGGCCACAAAAAAAAAAAAAGTTAAGCTGGGCACCAGTGGCTCATGCCTGTAATCCTAGCTACTCAGGAAGCAGAGATCAATAGTTCTCTGCTGAAGTTCAAAGCCAACCTGGGCAAATAATTCCCAAAACCCTCTCTTGAAATTACCCAACGGGGCTGGCAAAGTGGCTCAAGTGGTAGAATGCCTGACTAGCAAGCATGAGGCATGAGGTCCTGAGTTCAAACCCCAGTGCTGCCGGGGGGGAAAAAAAAAGAAAATACCCAACCAAAAAAGGTTGACAGAGTGGCTCAAGTGGTACAGTGCCTGCCTAGCAAGTGTGAAGCCCTGAATTCAAACCCCGGTACTGCCAAAAAAAGAAAAAAGAAAAAAATCATAGTATTTTTCCCACTGACCCTGGATTTGGTTCATTATTCTGCTAAAATAGCTCCCCAGGTAGCCTCTACCTGTAAACACTTGCTGTAAAATAGAGTGGGTATCGCAGACTAAAGCCGTTTTCCGGGCCAGGCATGGTGGTGCATACCTATGATCCTAGTTAATTGGGAGGGGGAGATGGGAGGATATCTATCCCAAGCTGGCCCAGACAGAATCGAAAGACCCTATCTGAAAAATAAACTAAAGCAAAAAAGGCTGGGGCCACAGCTCAAGCAGTAGAGTGCCAGCCTCAGCAAGCACATGGCCGAGTACCATCAAAATAAAAGAAAAGGAAAAAATAAAACCATTTTCTATCTTTGCTTTGGACCATGATGACGCTCCTTGGGAGATTAAGTTACAAAATATTAGAAACAATCCAACATTATCTCCTTCTGACAGGGATTTTTGCAGACTGCAAAACAAAGGCTCAGGTGAACTTATTGTTCCAGGTCTCACTGGAAATGCAAACTAAGGAAAGGATCCAACCCAAACTGCACAGGGCTTTACAGTTTGTAAGGAAGTTTGACCCTGACCATGTAAGACTCAACATCACAATGAGGTGGCCATTTTGTTCCCACAAAGCTGATGGATGAGTCAGTGAGGCTCAGAGAGGTGAAGAGAGCTGCCTGAGCTCACACAGCCAGAAGGTGAGCCTTCTGGGGCCAAAACTTTGTTCCTTCCCACCCAGCCTGTGGGCCCATTCCAGGGCCCATACCAGGGATGTCCATGGAGTTCCCACCAGGGCCCTTGGAAGCCACATTCAAGAGCACTACAGACCAATCAAAATAGTTCTCACATTCAGCTAGCAAAGATCTAGAAAGAAAAAGAAAAAAATGTCTTGCCAATTCATTGGACCGCCTTCCAAAAATGTGTGCAGCTGTTATGATCAACAAGACACAGACTGCGTTGAAAGCATTCTTGAATTTATGGCAGCTTTGTGTCCTTCTCCATATTTCTCAATCAATATTAACAGTAGACTGTTGTGGGAATGTCAGAGAAAACTTGACATTGGAAGGGAGTTTTGTGAGGCGGCAAATCCTGGTTCCTTTGATCTTTGACTGGTGTGCACAGGAAGATTAAATTATATGTACTACATACTAAAGGTGATCATTAAAACATGGTATTTTAATGAGCAAACCAAGTCACACTTAAAACATTAAATAAATGATATATAAACTGAAAAAAGGGGGGCTTCTCATTTCTAGACCCAATTATTAATTTACAGAAGATGGAGAAACTTGTTAAACCATACCTGGAGAATGCAACAATGGAGCACAAACCAAATTGTGACACCACACAAGGAGCCACTCAGTTTCTTTATAGAGGGAGCCCCGCTTGCTGCATAGACGCTTCACCACTTGAGCCATACCCACCAGCTCTTTTTGCTTTAGCTATTTTTCAGGTAAGGTCTTTTGCTTTTGCTAGTGGCCAGGCCTGGGACCAAGATCCTCCTACCTCTCCCCCTCCCCCAACCCAGGGCTGGCCTTCACTGCAATCCTCCCATCTGCCGCCCAAGTAAATTTCTTCCTCCCTCTTTCCCTCTTTCCTTCCTTCCTCCTTTCTTCCTTCCCTCCCTCTCTCTTTCTTTTTTTTTT